CCCTAAATTTAAGGGAAAGATACGCCATCCTGCAACTTGACTTTAGTGTAACTTCACTGAATGGCACAGAATACTCATCAGACCATGGGTGGATCTATGAATACTAGCAAATTAAATATCTATTTACACAGATAGCAAACAGTAGAGAAAGTGGCTGTCAACCTATGGCACTCTTTTTAGCAGATCTTATCTGGAGAAAATTGCTTCTCTTCCCTTAGCAGTAAAATGCACAGTTACTGCATTATACATAAGGGTAGAAAACTGAAAATTTTTCCATCAAAAACAACAAATCAATAAGTCTTATGACCTCACACGTGGTGCAATAATTGAGCTAAATTGTCTTAGACTGGGCAGTGTTCCTGAAGTTCCTTGAAGCATACTTGCTGTTTCATTGAGTGAAATTGAGGGCTGACCTCCATTTACAGAAACACAGAAACAAGTCTCATAAATGCTAATATTCTCCACCAAGTTCTTCAGAACAAGGCCATTTCACCCAAGCCTTTACATTTTCAATGCATGATTTAACTAAACAAAAAATGAAGGTCTTGGCTGGATGCTTCAGCTTCCCTAATGTCCCAGAGTCCCCTCCATGCCGCAGAAATGTACCTCTCGGTGAAGCTCATTAATTACCTTGTTAATATCAATTTCTTAGAAAGCAGATATTTGTACAAACACTGTACAAAAGCACTGCTACAATCTGTAAATATAGTTGGGCTCTGTCTCTTAAGAAGTCACTAGTTTTGTCAATCTATTGTATATAGATCATAAATACATGTAACACATGATTCTTGATGGTAGAGATTAAAAATCATGACATTCACTGCTCAGCAGGCATTTACTGCATGTGGTACTCAGCTAGGCATTTTCTGTGCACTATCTCTTCCAGTCTCCTCACAGCCCAACAGAGGAGCTGTTCTTACTGTTCCCATTGATAGATAAGGACACCAACATGAAGAGAAAGTAACCTGTTTATTCAAGGATGTGCTGCAGAAAAGTAGAGGAGTTGATATTTAATTATAGGTGGTCAAATTCCAGATACTCTGTGGTCCCCTTGTTCGGCAGCTTCCTTCACACAGGAACCAACCAGGGCAGAGACAGGAAGAGAAGGCAGCTCTCGATGATCTCCCAACACTCTTCTCTTTAATCCTTCTCCTTCCCCCAGTGGAACCTTGTCCAGGTTCTCAGCTCTGTGCTCAACAAATGTAAATATGCATCAGAAACACAAGGATAAGCCCTTTTGGAGATGCCTGCGGAAGATCCTGCCTATTATGGAGAGCAATAATAGATGAGGTAACCCTAAGCGAATAGTACAGAAATGGCTTAAAAAATAAATGCAAAGGCAGGGAGTTGGAAAGCGGAGCACAGCTGAGACTGAGTGGGCAGCCAGAAGGCCCTGTCCCCAGTGTGGCTGACCCAGAGCGCCCATAGCAGGCAGTGGGAAAGTGCCTAACAGCAAATTTTTTAATTCTCTTTGAAATAGCAAAGATTATTTTGCATATGGAAACTTTACTAGGATTCAGAACAGTGTAGTGTTCAGAGCCTGAAGTGAAGCAATTCAGCCATTCCTCAGACTGGAGGGCTGCTATTAACAGAAGCAGAGTTTGAAGGACTTGACCCAGAAAATCAGGCCTGATTTCAAATCAGGCATTATTGTTTTGGTGGAGGTTATCATAGTGCACTTGGTGCTGCAAGCCAAACTATTCTGGTAGCCAGTGGAATTTAAGGAGACCCATGTTGGAATTTCTGTCACATCTGTGATAACTGCAGAATCTCTAAAGCCTTGAGGGCTTAGCATAGACCCGTGATGGTGGACCTTTTAGACCTTTCAGTGAAACAGACAGCCTGCTGTGACACAGGTGCCATAGGTTCACCACCTCTGGCCTAGACCTTCTAGTTTTCTACTCTCAAATAGCAGTGAGCCATATATCCATGAAGAAAAGAGATTCAGTGAGTGGTGGCAGGGCTGTGGGCGATGGTAAGAGGGTATAATCCTGTACGTACTCGGCATTTTAGACATGGTGGTAATTGGAGATAGTCACATGACCCAGGTTAAGCTTTGCTTCCCTCTGTGCAGCTTGTGGCCTTAGATGTGTCCCCAGCACTCTGAGCCTTCGCGTCCTCTGTAAAATAGGGATGAGTAGATTGGGAATGAAAGCCAAGTGAAATTGGGCCCCTTGAAAGAACTGTGTGAGTGGAAGAGTGCTTATTGTCCTCTCTTGGCGTGAGTTTCCCACTTTAGCACACAGGACTCTGTTGGCTCACCCTAGTTCTCCTCAGATGCCCTGCACATGGGCCCATGTGTCAGCTGCTCATTGCTTAGGCTGGACCTGAGGAATCTTCCCAGTCCACCACTTCTGATTCCTCTCTGCCCCTCCCTTCATGGAAATACTAATCCTCCCAGAGGGAATCACAGTGCCCCCTATGGTATGAAAATATCAAAGGACGCTGTGATTCCCTTTGGGAACCTGAGGGCTCTTCCAACATCCCTGGCTTTGTGCCCTGTGGCCTGGAGTCAGCCTCCCACGTTATTTCTGATTCTGCCCACAGCTTGTTCTAATGGTGTTCCCTGCCCATCTGGAACAGGGTGTCAAACACTGGCCCACACTCACAAGTACAATGAAGAACGGTCTTTTTAAAAACAACTGTTAGAGGCAAAGTAGAATTTGGAAATGATCACATAAAACAGTTTTGAACAATGAGCTAGTGGTGATTTGATTCATGAATTTAACATTTCAAAGCATTTACCATCTTGAACAAAGAGAAATTCCTTTATAAATCCTTATGGTAAAAACTACATCTAGTTGTTATGGTTTCTATCGAGAATGGTCCCCCAAAGGCCTCATGTGCCCATAGGCAGGGTTTTTGGAAGAGGAGTGGACTGTGGGACTTGCTTTTGGGAGGTAGCCCTGGTGAGGGGGCAGGCCACTGGAAGGTCCACTGTATCTCCCTGCCTTTCCCTTCTCACTCTATTTCCTGGTCCGCCATGCACTTCTGCCATGCTGTTCTGCCCCGGTGGTTGCCAACCTCGGGCTGTAACAGTGAGCCAGAATAAGCCGCTCCTCCTTCACCTCTAGGTGTCAAATACTGGGTCTCAGCAATGAGGAAAGTGACTAAGCCGCCAGTGCAACTTTTTATCTTACAGTATTCCTGAAACTTGATGGTGGGAGTCTATAAGCCTGTAACATATTGAATATTGTCTTTAATGTAAGTTAACAAAATGACATACATTTCACTGTACCAAAAAGCTTGGCAGTAGAGGTTCCCCCAGCAGAAGTGAGTATGGGGCCAAGATTTGCCTTGTTCGCTTTGAGTGTCCTGGTCAGAAAAGGCTCCCAGGGGCTCGGGAGGTGTCATTTTCCCCTGGTCTCAGTGAGAAAGGAGAGCCCGCTGTGGGTGAGCATTGAGGTGCCCCCAACAGTGGGAAAGCAAAACACAAAAGGGTCGCCTTTTAGCTACCTATTTTGAATTTCTCTGACATTAAAATTCCAGCCATGGATTGAACAGAGTAACTCTGAGTTTCCCACTCCTTCCTCTTAGGTCTTTTCATTATAATCCCGACAGCTGTCACTTATGTTTATTCATGAAACATCTTGGAAAAGGTACCGTACCACTCCTAGGAAGAGCTATCAAATGTTCACTTGCTCTCTTCCTAAGAGAGCAATTTCCCTTGCACACCCTCCCTTCCCATCTGGGCCTTTACCGACAGAGCCAGATTTGGACCCTGGGTCAGTCACGGCCGAAGCTCAGTTGGCACTGTTGAGTGACGGTGCCTGGCTGCACCCAGTCCCTCTGGAAGTCATGGGCAGGTGCTGATTATTAGACAGCCATGGTGCTCAGGTGCATTCCAGGTCAGAGATGTGTCCTGCTGTTGAGGAGCAGATGATCCTAGTAGGAGAAGGAAGAGTGAACTCATGGCAACACTACGAGGCAGGACATGGTCCCTACCTGATGAGGAAACCCAACAGGAAAGGGGTGAAAGAGGAGGAGATTGGACTGGGAGAGAGTACTTCTGTGGGGGTGGCCAGGCACTGGAAGGGGGAGTAAGACTTTTGGTTGATGTAATTGTGGGAGGAGGGAGTTCAAGGCAAGTGGAGGGTTTGCAGAGCCGCAAGAGTGGAAAGGTGGAGCCTTTTTGCTCCACATGCTTTAACTGGCTGCTTACCCAGTGGTGTCAGTGATGCATCTGCCTGCCTGCCTGCCTGCCTCATAGAGGATCGGGAAGCTTTTGTTCAGTGTAGGTTCCTGATTCTTGCCATCAAGAACTGTGTATGTACTTCCTTATTACTCTCCACCGTTCCTGGGAGAGTTGTTTATATAGTGACTGAAGTGTTGAAATCATTACACACTATATTTGCAGTCCTGCTCAGTAATGATTTCCATGGTCCTTCACATGACCTTAAAATATTGCGCCTGCCCGTTTGCCCGCCCGCCCAGATGCCCATCAGTAGCACTGTACTCCTGCTGTTTGGCCTGCGCTGGCCTGGGCAGGCGCTCCTGTGGCTCGGTCAGGTGGGATTCTGCTTGCTGGAGCGATCGGGGCTGGAGGAGCGAGGAAAGGGGAGCCCAGAGCCCGCCCGAGCAGAAGCCAGCCAGCAGAGGGGCCAGGGAAGTTGTAGAGCTGAGAGTAGAGAAACAGCGCCAAACAGAAGAGGAGCCCTTGAGACATGGTGGAAGGTTAAATGATGCAAATTACAGAACATGGTGAGAGGAAAAATAAAAGTGGGGGATTATCAGGAAGCATCAGATCCAGTTCAGTCCTGAGTCAAGTTAAATTCTTAGACTGAACCATACTGCGTGTATAGAGTTGATGTTGAAATTTCGAATTGACAGCTGAAGTAGAAATGTTTATTCTATACCCTTTTCATGTTAAAATGAAGATGACACCAAAGCGATTGGCTTTCCCCCTCTGCCCCTGGAATCTTAGGCTGGCACAGTGTCTTGTAAATGTCAGAACCATAGCTGGGGAGTGTTTGATTTTCCCTTCTGCTTTCTCACCACAGGAAATAGCAGAAATAGCCCACCACCTTACGGGTTTCATCTCTCGCCAGAGGAAATGAGGAGACAGCGGCTTTACAGATTTGATGGCCAGTGAGGTGGCTTCTCGGGAAGCCGTGCTTCAGTTGTGTCACTGTTACCCATTTAGTTCACTCCCCAAGCCTCTAATTACTTTTAAGCAAAAGCAGAGTGCAGTTCTCACCCCGTGTTGCTCATGTCTCCCATGGACCCTTGCCCTGTGGCCCTTTGAGGCCGGACTTGCGCCGGACTGAATGTCTGGAAGCCAGGCTTGTTGAAAGCAGCTCACAGCTTTCTGGGAGTGGCCCATCTCCTGGCCTTGTTCTGTCCCAAACAGAAGGTAACTCCCCGGTGTCAGGACCAGTTTCCACACTCCTTTACCTGCCTCCTGCTTAGGGCGCCTTCACCTTGTTTTGATGCTGAAGACTGACCTTCGCCAGGAGGTTTTGTTTCACCGGTTTGGATGATCAGTCCCTCCTTCAGCCCATGCTGGATGCTTCACTTGGCAGGAGGCGAGGCACTGTCCCCTCGTCCTTGTCCTCCTGGCACGTTGCCATGGTGACTGTCCAGAAGGAACTGTGGCTTCCTTCCCACTGTATTGTTCTGATCTCCTTCACCCAGGCACTGCGGCTCCTCGTTACAGTGTACTTGCTTTGCTCTCGTTCCCTAAGCCTAAGAAAGACCCAAGGTGGAGACAAGGCCTTCACACTCCACTAGGTATCAAGTAACACCAGCAGTTGTGGTGCCAGAGCTGCTCCTCCCGTGGCAGAAAGAGTCCCTGGGAGGGGGGCGTGTCATTTAATCCACAGAACAGCAGCAGGCACCACATGCAGAGTTGAGCAAAGACATTTAGTAGACTGATCACTAGAAATCCTTCTTGCGGGAGATTTTTTTTTCCTTATACAAGTGCCTTTTAATTGGCCACTGTATCAGCTGTTTGTCCTACACAAGTGTCCAAAACATGCCCCAGGGCCCTGCAATATTACAGTACACAGATTGTCTGTCCGGGTCATGTGGTCATGTGAGGCATTTCCCAGGGCTTGTGTTTCGTGAATAAAAGGACAAAGACCAAACGCCACTCATGTCTTCTGTTATGGAGATACTTCTTTTTAAAGAGAGAAAGAAGCAGACAGGGATCTTCCTATTTTACATAGCTTTGTGATTGTGAAAGGGATGTACTTTCTGTATGTATAAAGCAAAGGTCTGGAAGGAAATGCACCTCTGAGGTTATCGCTGAGTACATGCAGTTTTTGTGTTCTCTTTTTACAGTCTTATGTGCTATTTTTTTTAAATGTGTGTATGTGAATGTACTACATTTGAAGTCAAGAAAACAGATTTATATAGTAAATCAAGAAATAACCAGTGAAACATTTAGAAATAAGTATTGGATATCCATTGAGAAAATTCACAGTATGACCAAAAATACAAAGAGATACATTACACAATTTTAAAATCACCTATGTTCTCACCACTTAGAGATATCCAGGTTTAACAATTTGGAAGTCCTGCTTTCTCAATTTTTCTTTTATGCATTTGAAGAATTTGAAGTGTAATGACTATGCAGTTAGGTATCCAGTTCCTAATCTGAATTTACCTGGGAAGGGCTTTGACACCTTCTTACAAAAGCGCTGAGAAAACCAGTAGAGCTGGGGACACCCTGACCTGCTGCTGGCGCAGTGATGCCTTAGCTCCTTGGCTTAATTTATAATTGATGCAAATCTAGGTGGTTGGTGATACGAATTGTACTTGTGAGTCTGCTAGCTTTAAAACATACGCACACTTCAGTGTTCAAGCCCAAATCATTCCTTTCTCCCAAACTATAAATTTGAATTCCATTTCCTCATTCAGAAGTAACTACTTTCTTACATGCCGTCTTTTCATAGCCGTGGAAATTCTAACAGATTTCTGTTAGCATCACTGTTATTATCATTAGTGCATAACTACACCAAGATGTGCCTTCTACCTGGGAGTGGGGATTATGAGTGGCCTTTATTTATCTTCCCACACTCCTCCTGTCTTCCCTCTCTGCCACCCAAAGACTTGTGGTCAGGATTCATTAAATACTAGTTTTCTTTCAAAGTGTTTTTTCAGTTGCATTAAAAGTCAAATCACTTATATACAGAAGTATTTTTTGTAAATTTTGCTTGTGTCCATTAAGTACCTCCTTATTCTGTACAACCAGATACCCAGACACTGGAATCAAAGTTTGAACGCTATAGCTATAATATATGCATGCCTTATTTATGGAGTGGAACATCACTGAACATTTAGAATGTGAAAAAGGTCATTTTAGTTATAAATATAAATCAGTTATTTTTACACAACAATAAAGATCTTCTGGAAATTCTTATAATTATTTTGTTCAGTTAATGGCTTGCCTATAACCAGCGCTTATTGTTTTCAGTGTCCTTTCCCCAAAGTATGCCAACAAACTGCAATTGAGTTGAGGAAGACAGACAAAAGCAAGTGCATTAGACTAATTACCTCTAATGGGGAATAAGCATTGAGAGCTGATTTTTAATTTGGTTTCTTTGTTTAACTGTCATTTCCTGATACAAACCCAGTTCCCACAGTTTGCTGCGGTCAGTCAGTTTAAGAATTTCCTAATTCAGAATCTCAAAGGCAGGAGTAGTTGAAATTGCTTCCTCCCAATGACTGTGAATGTACTGCCCATGGTTCCAAGTTGTACTCAGTAATGGTTAAACCTCCTCATCATTTTAAATGCTGGCTTGTAAAGCTCAAACTCAGCAGCGAATGAGTAGATTCAGTAGCATTGGGGCCAGTCTATACATTTGGCACATGTTGTGCTGTGAGCTTCAGGAGTGAGAGAGATGAGTCCCACAGTGTGCTCCCTGAGATGCAGTGTGGAAGGGATGGATGGCAGGGCAGGGTGCTATCCTTTACCAGTATTAGATATTCTTAACAGACTCAGTATTTGATAAAGAAATGTATCACAGCCAGCGGATGTGGTGGCCCAGCTGTAATCCCAGCTCCCTGAGCAGTGGAGGCAGGAGGGTCCCAAATTCAAGGATAACCTGAGCAGCTCAGTGAGACAGTGTCTCAAAAACTAAAAGGTTGTGAATGTAGCTCAGTGGCAGAGGACTTGCCTGTCACGTGCAAGGCCTTGGACTCAATCCCCGATACCAACACATCATTAAAAGGGAATCATTTCTTCCCTTCTCTTCTCATGGGTCAGTACAGTCATTTCCTAATTTCCTCTCCCATACTTTCGGAAGGACTTTTAAGTGTCTGTTCCACTCAGTACCTAAAATACCTCTTCATTCAGTTCTACATAACATTGCCAGGTTAGGCTTTCAAAATCCTTTTTCGGTGTCACTCATCACTTCAGATACCTTTCACTGTCGGTCTGTTGCCAAAGGATAGAGGTCGGAGTCGTCAGCATTCACAGTGGAGCTCCAGGCCTCCGTCCCTGACTTTGCCGATGCCGGCCTGGCTGTGAGTGCTGCTGGCAAGGCCTTTTCTCTGCCACCCTGTACCTGGAATAGCTTTTCTTCTCGCTTGGCCCAGCCACCGGACCTTTTCCAGATGCCACAGCCCTGAGTGATCTTGCCTCATCAGACCTGCTGCGTTCCTTGGCTCTGCATCCCATGGTTTCCCCACACCATTAACTAATGTGGCTGGTTCTCAGGTGGTAAGAGAATGTCCTCTTTCACCAGGGACCATGACTGTGTTACTCTCCCTCCTGACAGTACCTTGAACAGGGCTTTGTCTGGAATGCCGGAACCAGTGAACACTTGCGGATTGGAATACAGAGAAGCTCACTTAGACCGTCAGCAGGTCACCAGGGGCGCACTGAAGTGGTTCTTAGAAGTCTACACCATTCATGGAACCGAAAGAACATTCTACCACTCTTTTTAAAGTTTCCCCTACTGTTGCCAAACGGATACACAAAATAATTGTTTACTGCTTGAGAATTTCAGCTTTGGTTAATAAAACCATAAACACTTAGTACATAGCCACTGAGGATGCAAGACGTAATAATGCTTCTGGCCAGTGGGAGAATGAGAAGGGCTCAGCTGGCTGGTGGGGTAGTGACAGCCTCCGGGTCCGGGTCCGGGTCCGGGCGGCCTCCACACTGTTCTTTCTCCACCTCGGAGCAGTTTTGCTGCGTGGCTCACCTTGGGTACCTAGGGGCTCCAGAGGCCTCGCGGAAGTGGGCCTTCTGGGTCTCCCCAAAACGCAAAACAATTATCGAATATCTGCATGCTCAGCAGCGTGGGAGCTAAGTAACAGTAGCCTGCATTTTGTATCTCTGTGGTTGACTTTCGCACCTTTCATCCTTCCATATAACCCGGGAAGCAGTGGTGCCTGAGCCGGGTACTCACCGGCCGGCTGCTATAATACAGCCCTTGTGCCCTGAGGCCTGGTTTCCTTCTCTCCCACCCTCCGTCACTGTCTGCAGAACCGCGCTTCCGGCTTCCCGAGCTCAGAATCCCATCCTCCCGCCCGTACGCTTCCCTCCTGCAGTTCACAGGCCCACCGCGAAGCAGTCCTCCTGCTCCCTGCGAAGGTAGCTTCAGGTAGAGGCCATGCGATAAAGCAGGTTAAAAGAAAAAGTTAATCTACTTTGGCCCAAAAGAAAATAAAGCACAGTTGTTTTGGGAAAGTCATCACAGACTTTTATATATAATGAACCACATTGTAAATCATAATACAGCAAAGATTTAAGGGTCAGTGGAAAACCAAGCATCTTGCAAAAGTTACACGTTCAAAGTCTTTAGCTTTATAACCACAGGTTTGAGAAAGGGATGCAATTTATTGGACATGTCTCACATTTTTTTTCTCATGAAGGAATCATTAAATATTTAAGCACCACAAATTCAAGCATATGACATGGATGTGGCAGCCAGCTTTGGTGGTTTGAAATGCATTATGCAGAGTTTCTGGCAGATAACAGTGACAATTGCAGAATACTGATTTTTAATGTCAATTGTTTGTTCCCTGCAGAACTTACTGATAATGTCCTTGCCAGAAAATGTGATATTTTCTGTAGTATAGTAACTTTGCACAGCATTCTCCCAAAGATACTACGAATTGACCAGTTAGGTAATTCTAATCAGTAATATATATGCCCTATGAGAATAATTCTGTATACAAAGAACCCAAGAAATATCTTTCATCTTAATTTATTTTAAACAGAAGATATGACCATAACCAATCTATGATGACTGTTATATGCTAGACAGATAGTCTAACTAATTTTCAACACAAGAGTAGTGTTATGTCTTATAAATGAGGGAAGTAAGTTCAGCGAGTTGGCGGAATTCATCCAGGGTAACGCAGTTGGAAAGTGACAAGACCAGATCCACATCTGGGTTCAGCCAACTAAAATCCTCATTGTTCTGCCATTTTGCAGCCATACCAAGTAGAGGTTACAATTATCAACTTATCCCAGTGAGATGATGTAACACTAATGTAATTTACTGGAACAGAGAAAGGCTTGCTTTATAATAATCTAAAAGAGACTCAATATATCTTTAATAAGATCCAATTTTTATAGACTATTCCACTGACTATTTTTTAAAGCACGAGCAACTTACGTATGAACTTTGTAGAGCCAGTTTTGCACGAGCAAGCTCTTAAATCCCAAGAGACTATAGATTACAATATGAGCTGTCAGGTCGCATTTCAATGAGTTTTCTCTCAGCCAAATCTCTGAAATGTCATCATTTTTGAAATTTCGGTTTATAGAAAACATCTATTTTGGAGGCAGGGCGGAGGGGGGAGATAAGCTTATCAATTGGCTTTGGGTCAAAAATTGTAATAGATTGTGGGTGTGCGGATATGTTGAACATTCTGATGTTTTGAAGTAAGAAATGATGTCTCCTACTTACCATTTTCCCAATGAGGACCTTATATAGAGAGCTTAACAGCTAATGCCTAATGAAGCTGTGGAATTGTCACTGAATAAAAGAATGACGTGTTAATACTACGTCCAGTTCTGTGCTAGCACTGGGCATACAAGGACAAGTAAAACATGGTCCCCGCCCTCTAGGGGCTTTTGTGTTAGCCGGGGAATGAAAGAAGTATTCTGAGACGTTGAGGAAATAATGGAGAAAGAGAGAGAGCCCCATTAATTGTACTGGGAGCAGCAGGAGTCCAAGTCTCCTCGAGGGAATTCGCATGCATGCATGCCACTAATTCAGTGCCAAGGGGACCTGAGGGAGGACATCCCTGGTGAAAGAGAAGGAGCAAAGGCACAGAGGTACTGGGAACATCTGCAGAGCTGCACTCAATTCACCGTGACCAGAGGCGATCTCCGTTCACACTGACCTCACCACATGTGAAGGACTGTCCGAAGATGACCAACTCAGGTTTGAATGGAACTTACGTGACAGCTGGGATGTGAAACTGGATGAACTGATTAGGAGATGCCTACTGCAAGAGGGAGGTAGATCGGTGGTGTCCAGCGATACCAGATACAGGAGGCTGAGAGGAGGGAGTGTGCACTGGAAGCGATGACTCAGGGCTCTTTGTGGGGAATGAGAGCACAGCACGGAGGCCCACCTGCACCCAGCGGGCTCCACTCGGCACAAATGGCAGTCCGGAAGGGAACACACCAGTCCTCCAGCAGGGGCCTCAGGAAACCCCAGCTCAGCAGTCGAGGTGCAATGGACCCAAAAAGAGGGAGAGTCCTTGGGAAATCTGATAAAGGTCATCACTAGTAATGGACTAGGAAAACAGCTGTAAAGCTTTGCTCATGGCCTTCAAGGAGAACATATATTTTAAAACACATTGCTATATACACAAGTGAAGAAAGTAACTGGACTTCTATTTCAGGAAGTCATTCTTTCTGTCACGCTGTCATTGTGACCATTTAAAATACTTTCAAAGACAAAAGGCAGGATTCTAACCGTAGAGAGGGCTCCTGTGCTAGTAGTATTTTCAGCTGATTTCTGTCCACTGTTCCTGATCACAGTGGAGTGAATTATCCACTTAATTCAGCCCGTTTTTTAAAAAAAATTATTTATAAAGCTTATTAAGATAATACTCTAATAGGTTAAAGGGCCTAAAATAAGAGCGCAAGGAAGATATATATCTGATAGTCCACTGATCATTCTTAGCTCTTCCAGACAATGTTCTCACAGTATGCTCGTGATAGACTTTTAGGAGGCTTGAGTTTTGGTACTAGACAAAGGTTTCAGAAATAGAAGAATAATTACAAGTAAAGTAGAAACTGGGTTAAATTTCAGGCACACTAAACCAATAGAGTGGCCTAAAAAAACTCAAATGGGTCTGTGAACTAGGAAATATTCTGCTACATCAAGAAAATATCTTTTAAAAATGAGAAAATACTCTTAAAATAAATGGCCATGAGCTGCTCATAGCAAAACTCATTTGAAATGTATGCTACATAGAAGAACTCATTAGTAATCAAAGTTGAACAAGAAAAACATTTCTTGTACACAAAATTTTAATTGAGTTTCTCTCAATTATTTTTAAGTACACTAAAATTACTAAAATGAATGTCACTTTCATGAGTAATTTATTTGGTTTTCCCTAAAATGATATTTTCGGTATATGAGGAAGGTGAATTTCCTAAAACAATTCTAACAAATCTTTTGATTTGTAAGCTTAGATCACTGGGCACTTGGCAAAATAGAAAACTTATCTTTTGCAATTCAAAAACATGTATTCATTGTAAATTCACATCCCTTCTAGAATTTTATAGAAACAACAAATGCCAAATGTCTATTGCTGCCTTGGTTCAATGCTACCATGAAGTCTAAGAAAGTTTTTTAAATTGTCAAAATGGGATGCTCCTGTATAAACTGATCACGGGAAAATTCAACTTGCAGATTGTTTTTTGTATTTTTAAAAAGATGGCTCCAGGCCTTCTTTGGGGCAGGGGAGATGACCCTGACTTAAATAGATCCTCTTACCTAGGTTTAATTACGCCGCCCTCAGTTTTCTCCCAAGTGCATAATGATAGCTCTGTCACTTCCCTCTGTGATCTGCCATTATGTACGTGGAGGAAAAGCATGCACTGTAAGCTACACGGAAGCTCCACAGGTCCTACGGGGAAGGGTGTGAGGTGCTCAGTATGAACCCCATGTGGCTTCAGGCCCATTAGCTCCAAGGACATGTGGGTCCCCGACTGGGAAAACCCATCTGTTTGGAAGCTCACCACGATGAAGTGTCAATTTTGGGGAATCACTACCTTAATATTCATTAATAGCTTTTAGGCTCCTAATCCCCTACTGAATGTATTTTCTTCCATAATTGCTACTTTTCAAAAGGGCTGCCAAAGTAGGCATTTCCATTCTCTGAAAAACGCAGAGGAGAACATGTTTTATATTCATCTGCGAACCGCTTGTGCTAATGTTGCAGCTCTAGGATACAGAGACTGTGGGCTTTCCTGGCATAATGATCCATTCTGCTTTGAAATGAACTGTTAACGCTGGCAGTGCGGAGTTTTTTTCTTTTTGTAATCTCTTTGGGTCATGGTTTTACAACTGTCTAAAGTGCATAGAAAAAATAGATTACAGAGGAAATTTTGAAATGTTGAAAATCTCTACTTTGGAGTTTCATTTGTTGGCCTATTTATTTTTTCCCGTAAAATCTGTCCAGAACCCCAGTGTACTGTGGAGTAATTGACTTCAATTATTTGAGATGCTATTAGCCAATGAATGAAGTTTTCGGTAATGTAATTTGTAATCTGGCCTTTATCCTCTACTTGCTTTCCTGAGAATGAGCATATTTTCAAAGAAAGCCTATTTTTCCATCATCCTCAATAAAATACGGTATGTAGATTTCACCTAGATTAGGGATCGAAACAAACCCACGCACGTAGCCTTGGCTTAATCTGTGAAGCACAGGAGGAGGAGGAAGTAGAGGACTGGGAATAACCGCGCAGCACGAAGTGCGATCTGGGATGAGCACCGTAGAATTTCTTCGCACAGCCTGGAAGTCGGGACAGTTTCTCCTCACACCTGGCGGTGAATTTCACATTCTCTAGCTGTACTTCACGCAGACCTGGCACCTGCTGATCTTCTGGCGCTGCGCGTAGCCATCTTTTAAGGTGTCTGGTGACGGCGCAGAGGAAAACTGCAAGTCTGGTTTCACCGTGGTCAGCCAGAAGCTGTACTCATTTGCAAAAACGTGGCAGGTGCCCTGGCGCCCTTGGCATTCGAGGAACGGCGCCGCTCTGAAATCCTGTAGGCAGCTGCCAGGTGACATCAGGGCCTGCCCTCCTCCTTGGTCCCCAGCTCCTGTGTGCTGCCCAGACAACAACAAAAAATTAGGGCTCAGACACCCGCAGGCAGCCCAGGTCGAGGCCTGCTTTTGACATTTTTCCTTAAATGATGCCATCAAGACCAAAACCCAAACTTGGAAGAAGAAAGAAGAGGAAGCATGTTGGGTGGGCGCACAAAGTAGAGCCCATTGCGTGACGGCTGGGGCAGATTCCTCCTGTAAATTCTACCAAAGCGCTCAAAAACATTAACAATAAAAAATAACAGCCTGTTTCAACAGACTGGTTTGCAGCATTTTTTGTGAGCCCACGTCCTGCTGTTGTCCGCTCCGAGAACACACTTACTGGCCCGTCCACCAGAAAGGGTAAGAGCGGGTGCTAGGAGGCAGCAGGCGCCGCGGTTCAGGGGTGGAGCGCTCACCATCAGGAACGAGTACCCGATCCAGAGGCTCCTCCAGGCCCGGGGACACGGCGGGATGGCCTGGTCCTGGCTGTGCACCGCCACAGCCTGCGCTGGAGCCTCGCACACGGCGCAGCGGCTCACGTGGGGTCGGATGTCTTCCTCCGACACGGGCGCCATGGGGAGGGGCGCGGCGCTGGCCAGCCAATAGGACCTGTCGTTCCTCCGGGCGTAGTGGCACACTTGGTGGACGTTGCAGTAGGCAAAGGGCAGCGTGCTGAACACAGGAAGGCAAGATCCCGCCAGACCTGGAGGGAAGAGGAGACAGGGCTGCGTGGGCAGCTCTTCCCACGTGTGGCGTCGAACACACCTGCTCTGGGCCGTGGTGGCCCCCGCCCAGCCCTGCTCCATTCGTCCCTCTCTCGTGAGCCCCAGGCCTGCACAGGAGCAGGGACGCATCGGTCCTCAAGGAGCGTGGGTCCAGGACAGAGGCGGGTGAGCAGACGTGGAAATCCAGCCCGCAAGCCTCGGAAGGAGAAGCCAGGACCTCCCCCAAGCACGGCTGGAAGGAGCTGCTTTACCCGGGACGCAGGATGGAGCCAGGTGTGGCCATGGCCGTGATGACTCCAAGAAGATGCTGCCTCCCTGGGGCTCAGAGAACTCAAAGCTCAGTGAGGCGCTGGGAGGGCAGTGTGTGTAGAACTCACTGCCCACTGGCGCCATAGCCTTCCTGCAGCCTCCTGCCTAACCAGCCGTCTAGGAAGGACAGAGTCTGCCAGCGCCCAGACTCTTAAATCCTTGCCTTGAAACTGCTCCGGGCAGCTCACAAATCTACTAAAGTGGACGGGGAAGCCGGGCAGAGTGGTGCACTTGCAATCTTAGCACTCTGGGAAGCTGAGGCAGGAGGATCGCAAGCTCCAGCCCAGCCTGGGAAACATAGCGATGTGTGAAACCCTAGCTCAAAAATGAAACAATTAAAATAAATGAGGCTGGAGACGTAGCTCAGTGCAAAGGTTCTGAATTCAATCCCCAGTGCTACAAAAAGAAAAAGAAAGTAAACAAGGAACACCCAGGGGTGACCCTCAGAACAGTCATGTACGTTAAAAACAAATGGGAGCAGGGCAGAGAGTTGATGCTGGCACCTTCCTTACAGAACTATCAGGAGCTGCCATGGCCCGACTCTCCCGTAAATAGAGGAACCCACCACATCTCATTAAATAATTTACATTTGGAAGTAAAAACTGCATTTTATGCAGTTAAAATAAACCCATCCAGGAAGATTTTTTTTCAACACTTAGGCCTTCATGCTGAGCTACATCCCCAGTTCTTTATTTTTTGAGGCAGTGTCTCAGCTAAGCGGCTAAGCTGCCCAGGCTGGGCTTGAACCTGTGATCCTCCAGCCTTAGCCTCCCAGAGTGCTGGGGTTACAGGCACATACCACAGAAGAGTCCTTTCCTAAAAGCAAACAGTAACCAACTGCTACTTGCATATATGAAGACAATGTCTAATGCACAGGAAACATTTAAACTGATGGTGGATTTTTTTCTTCTGTTGTATAAAGAGTTCCGAGTTGGAATTCCTCTTCAGGTTTATTTTTAAAAAATACTTGATATACATGAAAAAAAAAAGCAAGCCAGGTGATAATCATATCTAGAATGAGATTCTTTGGCATCTCATAGATCATAGATGTAACAGAATTAGTTGGAAATTAGCACAATCTTTTTAAAATAATGTTGATCCCATAAAGACTGGTGATAATTAAGAAGCTCACAGGTCTGTACGCCCAGCCCCACGGTTTTGCTGCACGCACTGCTGTGGCCAGGGGCCAAGCAGCGTGCCCCTACCGAGGTCCTGGTTGTGTGCTTTCTCCTGCCCTTCCAGGTAGAGCAGGCTGTACCCACTCCAGAGCCGGGGCATCCCCATGGGGCAGGCGGGTTCCTCATCCGTTTGGCTGTGGACCACTAGGAGGAAGCCACTGAGGTAGCCAAGCCCACTCCCTTTGGGGCCAGGGTCGCCAGTTGGACCAGGAGGGCCTGAAAGAATAAAGAAAGAAACACAGTTTAGGGAGTTCTGTTCAACAGCCACCTCTACCCACCTCTGTCCTGGCTGTATTAGGGATGGAGGGAACAGCAGGAAGCAGGATGCACTTTGGGTTTGACCAACAGTAGATGGAGAATACTCATAAAAGCTTCTTCTGTAATGAACATGGAGACCTTTCCCCCTACTACTGGTCCCTAAACAGTACAGCATAACAAATATTTACAAAGCACTTGTATTAGGTGCCACAAGCACACTAGAGGTTATTTAATGCATATGGGAAGATGTGTGTAGGTCATACACAAATACTATGGCCTTTTCTAGAAGGGACTTGAGTGTCCTGGGATTTTGGCGTCTGCAGGGATTCCCGGAGAGGAGACTGTGTTTGATCCATCCAACTTCTGGGTGCGGGGGTCACATTAGCAGGAAAATCCTTGCCCTCTGCAAGTTTGCATTTCACTCAAGGAAGAGAAGTGACAACAAGCATAGCAGAAAGGGAAATTATGACACAGTCAAAGTACTGACAGGAAAAGGGCTGGAAGAAGATAATGGCAGAGCCCAAGTGTGGGCTCCCTGCCCTCCCAGACTGTGTGGGGAGCAGGTGATTCTCAAAGCTGCTCCTCCTTACACCTGCCAGCCCAGCACACGGTCGGTTCCATTCTGAGGAGGGCCAGGGCTTGGGACCCATGTGCACAACTTTACATCTCTTCTTTGATAAGGGACAGGAGAAGCAGGAAGACCTGGCTAGCTCTACATTCTTGTTGGCAAATGAGAAGTGAGCAGTTGTATGAAATACAACCAAGGTCTGTGTCCCTGACACTGCTAGGGGCCGCCCCACTGACAAAGGCCACCAATCACTTCTTCTTCGAGAGCAAGAGGACATCGGACTTTGAAATGAAAAGGCCTTTTGTGTCTGGGAGACTGGCGGCTCGATCCATCTACACCATAAACCACAGATTACAAAGTGGAGGCCTGCAGGCTGAGTCAGGTCTATCTGTGGTTTTGTTTGACCTGGCAAGATTTACAATTTGAAATTTTAGACTTGACAAAAAGAGTGTAGAGCACAGTGGGTCTAACGTGTGTGGGGTGTGTGTGTGTGTGTGTGTGTGTGTGTGTGGTGCAGGGGACTGAACCCAGGGCCTTTATACTGAGCTACATCCTCATCTCTAGCCCGTTTTCTTGCTAAGTCGCTAAGTTGCCCAGACGGGGCTCCAATTTTCGATCCTCTTGCCTCAGCCTCCCAGAGCGTTGGGAACACAGGGGCGCATGGGCTTCATCTTTTAGACTCACAGCTCCTTTGGGCTGCAGACCCCACTCAGCCCTCTTCACTCACTGCTACTCATTATCAGCCTGGACTTGGACGCTACTTTCTGAAGATGCTGCTGTCTTAGGGTCTTCGGGGCCCTGCTGCCCACGGTACTGCCTGGTGCCCTTCCTTCCTTCCCTTCCTTTCCTGTTCTCCCTCCTTCTGTTCCTCCCTCCCTGCCTGCCTGCCTTCCTATTTTTGGTGTGCTGGTGATGGAATTCGGGCCCCTGCACGTGCTAGGCAAGTACTCTTCCCTCGGCCCTGCATGATGCTTCAGATTTCTATTCTGAACAGTCATACTTCTCCCTTTGGCTACTCTCTAATTTTTTCCAGAAGAGCCCAGGATTCTACAGGAATGCATTGTTGGCCTTACGATGAGATGAAGTAAATTCAGAGAACCAGAAGCCGGGAACTTCAGCTGGCTGCAGAGGGTGAGACCCGTCCCCAGGACCCTCAGCACAGCCTGTCAAGGGTGGCCACGTAGCAAGCCGGGGCGCGGGACCCTTCAAGAAAAACAACCCACAATCGAGCCTGGCGCAATGCTGTGGAGCAGTGCGGGAGAACCGAGAATGCAGGACCCAGATGGGTTTCATGAAGGGTCGGCACCATGAGAACAAGGGAGATGCAGCCTGAGCTCCTCTGTTGTCTTTGTCTCCCTGATACCCGCTCAGCTGGTAACTAAGGCAGATGCTTTGAGCAGTAGTCAGTTTGCAAAGCGACTTCACGGGCAGAGCCTTGGTCTTCAGTGCATGGTCTGCAATGTCAGAAAAACAGAGGAGAAACAGAAACTCTACCTGGTGCTCCAGGGCAGCCGGCCTCTCCGCTGTCCCCTGTGTGCCCGGGAGGCCCGGGAGGCCCAGGGACTCCATCCTCGCCCCTCCTGCCATCCGGCCCAGGCTTCCCTTTGCACCCTGCACAAAAGTTCACAAAAGTTCACAACAGCGGTGGCAAAAATTGCATGACTCCTGCTAGCAGTGACCATGTGCTTATGCCTGCCTGCCTTCCCGGGGCTTCCTTCCCTTCCCTGCATCTGCTCATTTAGTCTTCCCGACTGAATGAAGTTGGGGTTATACCTTCTGCACTTGGCTGCTAGGGTAACTGAGGTTTCGAGAGGTCAGGTAACTTATTATTATTTTTTGGTACCAGGATTCGAACCCAGGGCCTTTGGCTTGCCAGGCAGGCGCTGTGCTGCTGAGCTACATCCCTGGCCCTTGACCTGATTAAGGCAACAAACCAGTAAAGGGATTGGCCAGATTTGAAGTCACAGACTGAGGAGGTGTTGAGACAGAGGTTTTTCCATTTTTTTCACGTTATTGTAATTTTGCCCTTAAAAGTATCAATTAATCAATATTTGATTCAATATTATCTGTCTTTTTTTTTTTAAAGCCTAGATGGAAAAAGGAATGGAAATTAATAGGATTCAGTTGGGGGTCAAGTTTGGAGCCAGATAAGAGCAATATTTGTTAAAAATTGAGCATTCCCAACGTGCTAGGTACCAGGATGATTCCTCTACACGGATTATCCAAGTCTGGCTTCCAGGCAGCCTCAGGACTCTGTGGGCTCACAGCTCACAGGGCAGGAGGGAGGGAGGCCGGCTCGGAAGCCTCACAAGCAAGAGCAAGCCGTGCACAGAGCAAGCTCGGTCCAGGGGGCCTCGGTGTGGACTGGCTGCAGCCCATCAGACAAGTGAATTAACAACGGACACTGAGCCAAACCCTGTGCTTAAGCACCAGCCCTGTCAGGATGCAGGAGGCTTGAGGAGGTTTGATCTGGTTTGGGCAAATGAGCAGAAATCAGGGGCCCCGTGCAGCTTCCCTTGCGGTTGTGCTGGGCAGCAGGGTGTGGTGCCATCCACACTTGGTCCAGAGCTGCCGGCCTACAGCACCCCTGGCTGATAACCTTCCCCTGCATCCCACACAAGCACCATCCTGAAGACACAAGCATTGCTGTTCCCAGGAGCAGAGCCCACAGAAGTCCGACTGCAAGTCCTCTAGCATCTGCCCCGACAAGACTGGGCCAGGGCCTGGGAGTCTGCATTTCCAAAAAAAATTCCAACTGAGGCTGATGCTGCTGGTGCCAGGGCCCACATTTGAGAACCACCCTTCTAGGTAATAAGTTAAAGTTTGAAACTCTTTTGGTAATGTACTTTTTATACAGTGGACCTTTGACTTACGAACTCAATTTGTTCCCAAGGGCTGGCTGTAACTCAAGTTGGTCAACTGAAGGCTCAGGCTCCTCTACACTGCCTTCAAAGTCTCTCCCCTGTACACAGGCAGATCTCAGTGTCCTCAGAGAAACACTGGCTCAGGATTTCTCAATTAACCCACACAGGAAAGGATGCTATCATGTTCCTTCCAGAACTCTGTAAGGGCTAAATCTGTATCTGAGACCATCTGGAAGCACAAGTGGCTGGCATTCAGGTTATAACTCAAGGCTTTGGTCATAAGTTAAACTAAAATTCCAGTCATAACCCAAGTTGTTCGTATGTCAGGCTGGTCATAACCAGAAGGTCCACTGTATTTTGAAAATCGTATTTCTGCTTATTTGGGGGGGGGGGGCTGTTTTTCAATATTTTTTTCTTTTTCTCATTTTTACCAATTTTTAAAGTAGAAATTCTACTCGAGGAATTTATCTTAAGGAAACAACAATAATAATGACAAGCAGATTTACTGTTTATTCTGTCAAGCAGTGTTCTTTATGATACTGAACTCAGTTTTCAGTCTTCTTTTACAGATAAGGAAACTGAGTCACAGAAAGGCTATGTGGTTGTACAGGTGTAGTCAGGTTTCAGAATCTCCATTTGTAACCATAGCACATTTTCATAATCAGGGATGCTTAGGGTAAGAAACTTATTATCCAGAAAGATATTCATTACCAATTGCTTGTCATAATCCATTTAAAGTAGAAACACCTTAAATCAGAGTTGTCCTTTCAGTCATTCCCCGGCCAGCAGCAACACTACCTGGGAACTTGTCAGAAACAAGGAATCTCAGAGCCCTGACAGGTAAGGAGGCCAAGTCCAGGGTGGGGCCCTGAAATCTGCATTCTAACAAGCTTTCCAGGGGACCCGGATGCTCCAGGAAGCTCGAGGACTCGGCCTTCAACGTTACTCGCAACCCCGCCTCCCTCCCCCTGGGTTAACTCCGGCTGTTACAGATTCCCAGGAGGCCCTGAGTGAACGCTCAACACATCTGTCTCGATTTGGCCAATCCCTTCATTTTCCGAGAGCCTATTGCTCCAAAGGGCAGGGCCTTGTAGGATTAATTTATTTCTTGTGGAGCGGCTAGCACCAAAGCACTCAAAAAATAATTCATGAACGTGGCTCAGTAAATTATGCCCATCAAATAATGCAATGTTCTGCAGCCAGGAGAGATAATAGTGTAGAAAAACATGTAATGACAGAGAAGTTGAGAAGAGCAGTTTACAAAAGAGTATGCCTACGATCTTTTTAAAAACTTGTGCAAAAGTAAGATGAAAGATACATAGGCAATAGTGCCCTTTAAAAATATGTTTTGTTTCTTTACTTTTTATATTTATTTGTATAATAAGTATTTGTTTTTCCTTTACCAAATAACTGTTCCCAGGCTAATGCCATCATGTCCCATCCCCTACCACACTTCTCTCTACACAAATAGTTCTCAACACTGGGCAGTTCTGCTCATCCAAGAATGTTTGGCAATGTCTGGATCCATGTTTGGTTGTCACCTGGGGGAGGAGACTGATACCTGCACATAAAGGGCTAGAAGCCTGGAATGCTGCTACACTCGCTACAGAGCATAGGAGGACCCTGCAGGAGAGCGGGTTGTCTGATCACAAATATCAGCAGTGCTAGGCTGACAAACCCTGCCCCACGCTGTAGGCTACACCCAAGGATCATGCACTCGTTCCTCAAACACTCATTTCACACTTCCCATGACAGACAGCAGTGCAGAGGTGCAACACAGAATAAGAGAAAGCCTGGCTTCAAGCTGCTATGACCTCTAGAGTGGTGGGTGTAGAGTCACAGCTTGTGAGTCCCCCTGGCCGGGTTTGTGCCATGGTTCTGCTGGCCACACATATCCACTGAGTATTGTCTGCACTGCTTTCAGGCTGTGGCACCAGAGCTGAGCAGTCCCTGTAGAGACCATCTTGCTCCGAAGCCTACAACATTCACTACCTGGATCTTTACAGAAAATGTTTTTGGGTCCCTGGTCTAGGAGGATGCACAAAATGAATCGGCAAAGAAGAGGGGGCCCAAAGACAGAAATGTCGTGGGAGTAGCCCCAGAGTCAGGCCAAAGGGTCCCCAGGGAACCTGGACCATGGAGTCCTTCAGCCCACGCCTTGAGACCCTGGGGAGAGGGTGACGCCTCACCCAAAGGACTGAGCTGAGCGAGTCTTGTTTTGTCTTGTTAGGATAATAATCACATTCTGTAGAAGAGAGCTCAGCTCGGCATGTCCCACTGCCAGCAGGCAGGGCCAAGGGCCCCAAGGAGAGGGCACCAGAAGCCAGAGAAGGCCCCCTTATGGCCACCTGCAGCACGGCCCATTGTACCTGGCGGACACAGCAAGCACATCCTCTCTCAGAGGCTCACAATCTATACGGAGAATCTTGTGTGGATGCAAGATCCCTGTCCAGGTGTACAGAATTTACCTATGGCTATTATTTTTTTCGTGGTTACTTTGGTTGTTTTCCAAAGCTGCCATGATGGCTGAATCCAGGCATGACCGAGTCTCAGTTCTGATGTGGGGGTGAAGCAGTGGGTCTCAGCGCTGGCTGCTCACTGTGGTCAGCTGCATGGCTTTTCAAAACACAGATACTCAGGCCCCAGCTCCCTCCACGCCCAACCGGTTTGCCATGAGGCCCAGGACAGCACTCATAGAATACAGCTAGGGTTTCTCAAACTTGAATATGAGCACAAATATCACCAAGATCTTGTTAAAATTCAGACTGTGATTCAGTACTTCTGGGAGTAACACTGAGTTGCTACTGGTGCTGCAGTAGCAAGGATGTAGCTGCTAACTCGTTAATGGGTTATTAGACCAACCTGCCCTTCCTCTTCTTTTCCTGCCTCCCTGTAGGGCAATTCTGGCTCTACAAAGCCCAACCTGCCATAAAGCTCTGCTCAAATGCCAGCTCTGGCTGGGGTCTCCGCAGCTCAGCAGTCCTCCACGTGGGTACAACTCCTGTGGAGAACTGGCCTAGGACCTGTGGCTTGCAGATCCATTAAAGCATGAATTCTAATCTAGCATTGTGTTCTAGTGGCTACTTCTGCCATGAGATTTTAAGACCCTAGAAGGAGAAAACACATCTTAATCATCTTTGTATTGCCCACAAGAGTATACTACAGAGAGTAAAGAGAATCCAGAAGTTACTGAATTGAAGTTGCAGATCTCCATTATAGGTCACATCTATTTGAGAGTTATTTTTTTAATTGGAGGGCCTCAACTCTTGACATTGTAAATATAAGCATATCATGTTAGCTTGATTTTATTTTTATCATCTATCTATCTCTATCATCCATCCGTTTCCTGTGGTACTAGGGATTTACCCAGGGCCATCACCCTAGGCTACATCCCCACCTATTTGTTTGTTTGTTCATTATGAAGCGGTTAAGTTTTCCAAGCTAGGCTCAAACTTCTGATCCTCCTGCCTCAGCTTTCTAGAGTGCTGACATTATAGGTATGTGACATCACACTGGACTACATCTTGGTTTTAAAATGAGTTTGAGTGACCAGTTACACCAACTGACAGAGAACTTTATCCAGGCAATGAGTCCAAAGAAAGAGAATTTAACTGACCCAATTCTCAGAGCTCATGGGCTGTTAAAGGAAATCACTACAACCGACACCCAATTAACTTTGTGCACCAACACAGATGCCATACGGAAAACACCAACACACTGCACGGTAACTTGAGGAAGCCTCCGGAGCTGATTTGGCCTCTACCCAAGAACACCGAGACTCCCCATGAGGGAACCTCTCTTGGTTACTTAGCTTCTTGGGGCTGAGGAACTATGAGAAAAATAGGGGCAGTACTGTAAAATTCATTTTTGCTTCCAATTCCTTTGGCCCTAAACCAAAAGAACTGAAATTACAGCAAGGCAGTGGGAAAACTGGAAGAAGGACCAGCCTTATGCCTCCTCTTCCAGTAATTTTTGTATAGGGTTTCTGGATTCACAGACACTGCCAACCACTCTGAAGACACCAGTACCTCCCGGATGCCCAGGCCCAGATTTCCTAATCTTTTTAAAATTACCCACTGTCAGAAGATACGTGAAAAGAAAGTAAACCATTTAGAGAATATTTTTTAAAAGAAGAGTTTGGTTTAATACTAATAAGGGTCCTTCCACCATGACCCTGATGGAACAATGCTCAGACTGATTAGAGGACTATTCCTTCTCCTTACCCCTTGGCTAACCCTTCTCATAGGCTCTCTTTCTGCTCCACTGAATCTTAATTCAGAAGTTTTTAATTCAAAAACAAGTTAACAGCTACAAAAGACTATTAATAGGGTATCTACTCTGCTGTGGTAAATGGTTTCATAAGCCCATGCCCAGGAGCTGGCCAAATTTAAAAGATATATGAAGAAGTTCAACAGTGATAGAAGGGATCTGTAGATCTAGTTAGCATAGGATTAAATATTTGGATCTCTGTTTTAAAAAAAGGTAAAAGAGGAAGGACATTTTCATGTATTTCAGCTATGAATGATGCAAATAATGAACAGACTAAGGATCATACCTGGTCCTGGGGGACCCTGCTGTCCTGGGAGCCCCATGGCTCCTTCTGGTCCTCGTGGGCCTGGCACCCCAGGAAGCCCTGGGATTTGGGGACAGGCATCCACATCTGCAGGTGGCCCAGCTTCACCTGAAATTGGAATCAGCACATATGTGATAGATTCATATGCTCCTCCTGCATCCTCCAGTTAAGGACGTGCTTCTTACTCTACACTGAAATGTTAAGAAGAATGTTCAACAATACAGTGTGAATTCCTGGGAGGCAGAAACTTGTCTGTCCCTGTAGGGGTACAGTGACAACTTCAAGAAAGCATGTATTGAATAGAGGAATGAATGCATGCAGGAATAAGTGAATAAATGTCAGAAGTATGAAATAGTGACAGTTGGCTGAGGCAACAATAATTTGATGGCCTTCACAGAATTCCTAATCTTTGGGCCATTTTTTGCTGGGATCCCAGCCACAAATGCCATTAGCAGAGGGACTGGTGGGTTCCTAAGTATCACCATACGATGTCCCTAGTTCTTACTCGACATAGCAGTCAGGTAGTTTCCTTAGTGTCAGTTACTCAACTGGTATTTCCAGAGTCTCGGATGCAATGACCTTTAGCTTTGACTGAACGGAATGATCCAGGGAAGCTGGAGAAACAGAATGATGTGTGGGTCCCACTTCCACAAATACGGCTTTACTGGGTGACAGGATGTGGCTTGGGCCATGCCTTCGACTCTGGCTGCACAATAAACTTGGGTGTGGAGCTTTTCCAAATTGTTGCTTTTGTGACCTCCTAAAGACATGAGCTAGGAATTTCTGGGGTGGGATTTATATGTCCTCAACCTCTCCACGTGACTCCCATGTAAGCCAGGACTGAGAAGCACATTATAAGGCTCAGTTCTGACTTCAACATTTCCGAATCTGGCCAGTTCCATAGAAAACAGAGTCCCTAAGTCAGGAGGTCTGCAATGGGACCTGAACGTCGCATTTCTAACATTTGAGGTGGATGATGGTGATCTGGGAATCTCACCTTTAGAACTACCTCACTAAGGGTCTGACAGTTTAAAAATCTTGGTTACGTTTCATCGCCAAGATATTTTTATTTTTTCTAAAACTTCAGTTAGCCTGTACTCATCGCTCAAGGGCTAAGAAATAACACTAAGCAATAAGGAAAACAGCTAACACTTACTGAATGCTTTCTTATGTACCAGGCCCTCTGCGGGGTTCTTTCCTACAAGACCCTGTCAAAGGCAATGTGTGCGTGTGCGTGTGCTGTTATTAGACCAGTACAGGTAAGAAAACTAAATAGTGGCAGACACCCAAACACATAGCAGAGTCCAAATTAAAATCCAGAATGCTCTAGCTCCAAACCCATGCTCTCAACCATTGCATTAAACATCTCCAATTATTCCCCTCCCCCTCCTCCCTCCCTCCACCTGCTTTCTTCTTTTTATCAATGCTGGGGATGGACCCCAAGGCCTCACACATGCTAGATAAGTTACTTTCTCACTAAGCCACATCCCCAGCACAAAAGCCCCTAATACATGTGTGATGAATTCTAAGAAAGCAAACATGTTTTAAAACATACCATTAATTTGATTAGTTATGGTCTTTTTTTTTTTTTTGGAACCGGGGATCAAACTCAGGTCCTTGCGTTTGTGCAGCAGGCGGCGAAACCACTGAGCTAAATCCCCAGCCCAAGTTATGGTCTTTTAAAATTCACACAACTGTGCATAATAATTTTAACAACAGCAGTGATAAAGCAGCAAGGAAATCCTAGAAAAATATGGCCATAACCACAAAAGTTTAGTCTGCAGAATTCTTAATATGCTTGTGCAAAATGGACTTGAACACCATCAGCTGTTTGGAATTTAACTCTTAAAAAATGTGGTATGAAACCACAAACAACACAAGGACATATACAGTTTCATAATAGGTCTAGTTCAATGTCAAGCTTGGCTTTTCCACCAGGCTTGACTTCAGAGGTTTGCATGGAAACAGTTCCTATCTTCCCTGAATAAGTGGGACTTTTCCAGTGGGGGCAGAATACAGAAAGGGGCACAAATGCCTGTTGTTTGAGATTTAGAATCTTGATGTTATCTTCAAATGAATTTCTACATACAATCACAGATAGGATTGAAATGAAAACTTATTGAATATACAACTTTAACCTTTAAATATGAACATTTAAAATAGCAGAGTTAAAAATGGATTCTGTTGCTTTAATTTTTAATAATCCAGAACTGAAAGACAGAGGGTAAGGTTTTCTTCTAAAGATCCTAAAAATAATACATGGCATTTGTATTCAGGGCAATTTTGATTAGGACTAATAGCAGATACCTGGAAAGAATAAATGCAAGTGTTCACAATTTTTCTTTTTCCTTTTTGAGAAACACTTTTTATTTTCTTTGAAAATACCAGATACAAAATAATACGTTGCTTTTGCATCGTAGAGTACTAAGTGAACATTTTTCTTTTTAACACATAAAGAAATCTCCTTGAAAATGGACATAAGAGTGCAACAGGAAAGGCTTTTCATAGCTCCTCACTGGGTGGTAAGGGGCCATCCTTTAGTTGAGATGCTATTACTTATTTTAGGGGTAGTCTGTGTATTTTATTGTGGAGTTCATTAAAGGGACTTATACCAGCATGTGCTATAGCATTTGAGCAAGAAAACATTCATTCACATGTGATACCTGAAGTGAAATGACATATGCTGAGCACAGTGGCTTGACAACGTATAATGAGGGTAGCATTAGGACATGCTAATGTGAGGTTATTGTCTGTAATGAGGAAGCAAAGGCATTAAGAGCTAACGTAATTACAGCACCCCATCTATGCAAATGGAACAGTTTAACTTGCAAATCCAGCGGAAAGTGCCAGAGTTGAGAAAGCAGAACAAGGGGAAGCCATGAATTTCAGAGCCATGCTTACCTCTGGGACCTGGAGCCATCCAAAGCCAAAACAACAAGAGCATGTGCCGAGTTTCACACGGTGGAAAGAAATTTTAAAGTTGTGAATTAGGAGAGAAGATGAAATACATTGTTTGAGAACATAAATAATAATTTGGGACAGCATCAATGACAAGCAGAATGACAGCATCTTATTTACATAAAAATGTCTGCACTGATGTGACGGACAGGGACAGCTAAGATTTAGTACTAATGGAGTTTTCATCTCTACAAGGACTTGAAATGAAACTCTCTTGAGAAATATAAAATTCTAGTAGATTTCTCATGGCAAATTTGCCCAGAATTCATGTGCATAGGAATTCTGCCCATTTAAAACCTTGCAAAAATTCTGTATTAATTTGCCAGTTTTATAGGTTATGTCTGGAAAAATATAAAAAGAATCTAAGTACAAATACTCTGTCCTGTTGTACTATGATCGTTCATAACACTGAGCACTTTTATTTGTTCTCCAGAATGCCTATTTAAGAGAGTGCAAAATATTGTGAATTATTACTGTATTACTATGATTGATTTAGGATTTTTTTCTTTTTTATGTTTGATTTAGGATCTTAAAAGATATTACTTCTGCAAACCTCAAATGCACATATTTGTTTACCCTTTCTTTTCCCAGTACTTCTTTAGCTGACTTCATTCCATAATAAAACAGCATTGTTTAGAGTTAAATTATAGAGCCTTTTACCTTCATAGAAACTAATATACTTAACAGAAAATAGTTAAATAGCAAATGTAGGGAAATCCATTAAAATTCAGGGATAAGAAGTGAATGTGCAATGCTAACAAATAAAAACCATGTCCAGCTTTGCTTCTTGTATAAAGGAATATATATTCCCCTTAGAAATAGTATATGTAACACCAGCATTTAATTTTTAAACTTACTGATTCTGAAAAGAAATATTAGTTTACCAAACATGAAACTTCATGGTACAGTCTGAAACAAATATTCTCTTATATCAGAAAGGGTTTAATTCACAAGAATGTACTGATAGTTTCAGAATAATTATTTTCTGAAAGATAACACTTACAGTAAATGTTTAAACGAGTGTCGTGTGTGGTGGCTTGGAAGAAGGCCATGCATTAGGAGCTTACCTGGGGGACCTATGAACCCTCTCCTTCCTGGAGGTCCACGTAAACCCTTCTCTCCAGGTGCTCCAGGAAGGCCAGGTGGCCCTGGAGGCCCTGGAAATCCCACTGGTCCTAAAAGAGACAAAAAAGCATCAGCATGAAGTGACAGAAAGACAGGGCCAGTTGGTAGCGCTCCAGTCTATGAAAAATCAGGGCACAGTCAGTATTCCAGTTGAGATCACCTCACTTCTGTAAGAAGGACCGCCTCTGCCTGCAAGACACACAAGAATCAGCCCAAGAGACTAAGGAGGATGCGCCCATGGCCAGGATGAAATTAAACTAGAGCAAAAAGCCCTGGAACCTTGAACTATCTCTGGAGACAAGGGGTCAGAGTCGAGGGGAAAATAAGGAAAAGGACTGATGTCGGGAAACAAGGTGCTCCCCTGCTGCACTTCCCATCACTGTCTTCCTTGGTGTCTCAGGTCCAGGCCTGCCAGCAGCTCGGGTCTTTGTTGGTGTTGTTCCTTCTTTGCTTCCCAGTCCATCCATTAAGTCCACTCATTTTCTAGAGTCCAGACCTTCCTGGGGAAGCCCTCCCCGGCATCCCAGCCTAAGTCCAGCGGCTCTCTCTGGGCACCTCCTTCAGAGCACTGAGCTCCATTTACAGCGATGTTGCTCTTGGCCTGAGTGTCTGTCTGCCTTTGGGGAACTCAGCCCTGACACAGAGTAGCGACCCTGTCCACATTCGCTCACCACTGCATTCTTGTGGGCACCTAAGACACGCTGGCGAAGCGGATGGAATGTTTCCCACCATGCCCATCACCCTGCTTACAGGGTGGCCCTGACTCCCCCAGGAATGAACATGATCAGTGGGTCCCCACTGTTTCTAACTCCCTGTGGGTCCTTGGGAAAGTCACTGTTGTATTGTTATGACTTGCTGTTCCCTCAATCCAGGTGGAGATTCATTCCCTATGGTGACAACTAGGGAAGAAAAGGTCTGCCAGTTCCTTCCTCTGTCCTCTCGATGACTAGAGATTTAGCATGTCTGTCCAATTCTGATGCTCAATAACTGGAAGCTCACATATCTGCAGATGTAAGCTACCTTATCTAAAATCGGTGTTATGGTTAATACAGATGAAGAAGGCTGCTGCATAGCGCTGGAGAGATATTCATTGTACAGCTCCACAGGTACCATTTGTACAGTAGTCACGGCAGCCTCTTGGTGATTTTTAATCTCTTTTCTGCCTTAATCTTTTGCCATGGCTCACAAGTCAGAACCCAGGCAGGATCCTACTAATTGGGATCCTTTTGCAAATGTTAACAGTCACCTCTTTGATATCCAGCTTCCTTATTTCTGAAATAAGGAAGTTAAAGTGGATAAGCAGCATTGGCCCCTTTTCAACAAAAACATTCCATGAGCCAAATAATTCTCGTGATTCTGATACAGAAGCTACTGACCACATAAGGTTACTGAGCGTGTGAAATGTGGCCAGTCCAAAGTGGGTTGTAATGTAGTGTAAAACACATACTGGGGTTCACAGGCAGGAGGAGTGACATACTGGGGAGCGGAACTCGGCATGCACAATGTGAGCTGTATTATCTCGCTGATAATTTTATGCTGACTATATGTTAAAATAATGTTTGAGTATGTTAGATAAAATAAAGTGTGAAAGTTAACTTCACTTGTTTACTTTTAAAAATGTGATTATTACAGTTTTGACTTATGTATGTGACTTGTACAAGGGGTGAGATCACAATGTACAGTGAATATTAAATTTTTTAAAAATGTACTACAGTAAATGACACATTGCTATTAATTCCCCTCAAAATCCTCCCCCTCATGTTGGGCACACTTATCCCATCATTCTTGCCACTTTCTGAAGCTGCTCTAGAAGTTCTCTCTTGTGTTTTTAGTTAGACTGTCATAGCTGTCTCAATGTCCTGAACTGATTCAAATAGTTGACAGCAATTCTGTCAAATAAAAACATTACAGAGTGTCCTGTTCCACCTTATTCACAAGATCTGGCATCATGCAACTCCTGGCTCTTCCCCAAAGTCAAAATGACCATAAAGGTAAACATTTTGAATCAATTCAGGCAGTTATCACAGTGCAACTAAAGACACTCATAAAAGAGGACTTCCAGAACTGCTTCAGAAAGTGTCAAAAATGATGGGATGTGTGTTTGAAGCGAGGAGGATTAATGGTAATGTATATTGTACTGTAATAAATTTTTAAAGTAGAGACATTCACCTTACTTTTAGATCACACCTTGTATTTCTGTTCCCAGCTCTGGCCCAGAGATTATTATCAAGGGTATTATTAGGAGCTGAAGAGAAACTTGCTTCTTACTTTTACTTCCAATTCATACCCAAACCTGGAGACCCTCTGGGGAAATGTAGTGACGGTTTCCCTGAGAAATAGGAATGACTTCATCGAAGGACATTAACCCAGACCCTTGGGAGTGAAATAAAGTCTTCACATACTGATTAAGGAACAACCTGCATTCGTACCTTTTTGGCCATCTTTTCCATCACATCCTGGAACACCCTGGCATCCGGGAGGTCCTGGCGGGCCATGGGGACCTGGTGGCCCTGGCAGACCACAGTCACCTGGCTCCCCTTTCAGAAGGTCAACACTCCCATGGGGTCCCGGAGGCCCAGGAGCTCCTAACCACAGGGAGGAGGCAAAAATATTCTTTCATTCAAAAACAAATGTATATACTGGCTGTCTGAGAGCTTCTTAAGAAAAGCAGTGACCAGCAAGCAGGCCATCTAGGGAATTGGAAGAATAAGAAAGTACAGAAGTGACACAGAGAGTACGTCCCATGAAACCCAGGCTGAGAAATGATGTAGGCAGTGGGTTAGTACTGTTCCACAAAATGAACCTAAGCAAAACCTTCTTCCTTCAGAGCCATTCTTTCTGAAAGTGTCATTTTATGGCTTTGTGTTCATTATCATCTCACTGCTTTAATAGGATGATGAATGGATGGATGAAGGGGTGAACAGATGGGATATTTGGAAAAATATGCCATCAGCCAATGGGAAAGGAATTTTCACTCAACAAATCTATAGTCACATTTGCAAACATGTATCTATGTGTAGGAATGAGTTAACCCTAATTCTGTTCTCACTTAGCTTTATACTTCTTAGAATATTTTTATTGCTTCTATGTTTCTCAGTGTACAACCCCACCCTTACTGAAGCCCAAAAGATCCCAAGGTGGTGAGTCTGTGGGTCAGCCAGTATGAATGTGCTGTTTGCACTGGGCGAGTCATGGCAATAAGCCATGCTTTTCTCTTGATTCCCAATCAACTCTAATCTACTCCAACTTTGTTAGCTTATAATAGCTTCCAAAATCTTGCCCTGCCAGAGTTCATCCCTACGAAACAACGAGAGGGAAAACAGGCTCTCAGCTGCCCATGAGGTGACTGTTTCTGGGTGTACGAGAGGCCTCTGTATGAGTAGACAGATGCTAGAAACCAGTAAGGAGGTGGGAGTCCCTCCTACTGGGGATTTCAAGGGGCAGATAGGAAGTGCTTTTCCACATCGGATTTTGTGTCTTGGCACAGGTGATCTGAGAATTGACCTGCAAGAGGGAGGGGCCTAATTCTGGACCTGGATGTGGTCCTGAGGACCCACTGCCACCCACACTCCCACCCAACTGGGTCTAACTCATCTCCACTAAACCGATGAGGCTACTTGGGGCCTTCTGCTCTGCCATTCTCCAGTCTTAGAACCTTACCCAACTGGCAGCACCTAACCAAGGGAGCACTGCCATCCTTTGCCATGATGCTTTCATACCTCGTGGGCCATCAGGGCCAGGGGGTCCCTCATCTCCAGGTGGACCAGGATCAGGAACATCACCCTTAGGAGCTTTGCCTGGGGCACCTGCGGGACCTGGTGGTCCTGGTCTCCCTGTACAAGCACATGTTCACACATTAGCCACATTACATTTGGAAGGTTTTGAATTGAGAGAGAGGAACAAAGCATGTTGCTTCTTACCTGGGGGGCCTGCAAAGCCTTTCTCTCCAAAAAGGCCTGGAGGAGAAATTCCGGGATTCCCAGGGTCTCCTATCTCTCCTTTTTGACCAGGTATTCCCACCGGACCTGGTGGGCCCATTTCGTGCAAACCTTAATGGGAAAAATAGCATCAGTACTGTACCTTCTTTCATTTTTGCCCTGTTATCATGCTTGAAAAGTGGCTTCTTCCACAGAGACCAATCTCTGCCAGAAATAGTGGTCCAAATGGCTGCATACTATTCCTGGGTTACCATTGCTCTATTACAACCCATCACACCAGTCAACTATGGGTTTGATTTCTCTTATGATAATTTATCAGATTGAAAAATACAATTGCTTCGTCATAATACCAACCTTATGAACTTAACAATGGATGAAGCAAAAACAAATGAGGTAGAATAATAAATAGCTCTGAACAAACTGCTTTGTAATTTGAGTGGACACTGGCATATAATGAGAACTACCATAGTGTGGTTTCCCATTGGGGAGGGAAAACATCACTGGTTTCTTGGAAGGGGTAAACATTTAAATCAGACTGTTTGGAAGAGCCACTAAATAAATCCTACATGAACTAAGTTACTTTCTGATCTTCCAAACTATATAAAGATTTCATCCTTCTCCACCATAGATTCACATCTTGCTGCATGATTCTACCTTTTCCCCACAGTCACTCAAATGTACATGTTGAGTTCTAGTTCCTTTGTCTGGTTTTGTTATGATTTCTGAGAAAATCACACAAAAATATATATTATTTTAGTAGAACAATTTAGACTACAGTTGTTGGATATTAGACCCTTTGTGGTAACAAAAAGGACAGCAAATGTTTCAGATAATTTGTCTTAGCATTAGTAGTAGAGGGATGCCAAAGGTACTAACTAGATCCACTTGGTTGTACAAGCCTTTGCTACCCTTAAAACAATTTTTTAAACCCAGACTATTTATTTGTTTCATAACATTTTGAAATTTGGGCCCATTTAAGCAATTATTCAGAGTATTTTTAGTAGACAGTCCCAAGTAATACCAACAAAAGGTACTGTAAACCAACAGTTCCTTCTTAGGGTTTTCCTGAACACCCCTCATAGAAGTCATCAGCAGCATTAGAAATAGTTCTAATACTGTGTCTCCAGCCTAAGCTAGCTTTATTTCCAGTTTCATCCCCACATCTCATGAAGTGAAGGATCCCAGTGGAAGAACCTATTTAATATTATGGTCCACTGAACAAAGCTTGGTCTCTTGGGAACGGTTTTCATCTTACCTGAGGCACCTTTGGTTCCTTTCTCTCCCTTCAAACCATGCAAGCCATGCAGGCCAGGTAACCCAGCAGGACCTGAAATACACCACAGGTCTGTGTCCCAGAGGCAAGACTAGCCACTGATACCCACTCGGGCCAGTCATGGGCACCCCCCAGTGGAGGTACACCACAGGGAGAGGCTGGGCCACTGGCATATCTCACCATCTGGGGCTCTTTCTCAAGGTGAGAATCCGGCAAATGATTATTTAATACACTCATTTGGCAGAGATTTTCTACCAAGAAGCTTAATAGTTTAAAGAACCCCTGCTGGATTATAACCATGTCACGAGCAGATACAGTCTAGAACTACTGAATCTTGGTGTAGGAAGTGACCTTTAATTTGAAGACAATAGATCATTCTCACTAAAGGAAGAGATTAGATGAGAGGAAATTCCTGCCTTCTACCTTCTGGCCTTGGGATCTTCCTTCTCCACTTGGGTCTGCAGGTCCTTGTTCCTTCTGGATTTACTCATGATAATGTAGTATGAAACGATCACAGCTGACTCTGTGGCATGCTGCCTGCTGTGTGCTGCCACATGGATTTTAAGCACTGGGCTGCTCTGGAACAACAGACCTGTAGGTCAAGTTGAGCTGTTGCTATTTCCCTGCAATAGTTTTTTCAGAACCATTCTGATGCCTTTTTAAGGCAACTGAATGTATTTTGGGATAATTACTGAAGGCTCCAGGCTCTGTAATTAGCCATTATCCTACTGAAGCCCGTGCCTTCTCTGAGAGCCTTGTGTCAGGCATCTCTACCAGTCTGGCTTTCCTAAAGTTGTCACTGAGCCCTTCTGGTGGGAAATTTTCCTAAAGGTTTTCCAGCAGTAGACTTGAGTTGAGTTTAAGTTTCCCAAGTGAGCATGCTTTCAAATGAGAGGTGCTTAATTGTGTAGCACAGAGTTGGAGGGAGGGAGGGAGAGAGGGAAGGGAGTAAGGGAAAGATGATGGGCAAGGGAAGGGGTGACAAATATTTCAGAGCATCTCCTGAGGGCCAAGCCCAACTGAATGCATGACCACATGTCTTGTCCCATCAAATGACCCAGAGAAAGGAACACGGTCTCACCACTGGGCCGTGACTGATAAACTTCCTATTTCTTTGGTAGATCTCCCATCCGAGAACTATTCCTTCTCACCCAAGACTCGGAGCTCCTCCCCACACATACAGCCTTTTACTAGTTTAGGGTTAAATCTCTCAAATTTAGGACAGTGATGTCCTCAGCTCATGTGACTGGCCATGAGGAAGCACCCCTCACCTGAGCCTGTGATACCTACCTCGGTCCCCTTGTCAACCCTGCCTGTGACACATCTTCGTTCAGATGTCTCCCCAATGCAAGGGTAAATCACAGTGCAAGAGCAGGTCCTTTTTCAGCCTTTCTAAGCCCACACTTGGCATCTTCCCTGAGACATGTAGTAGGTGTTCAATAAATGCTTGTTGAATGAGCAAGTGAATGAGAAAATGTGAGATTAGGAGGGTGAGGGATTGAACAGGTGGAGAAAAATCTGTATTTAAAAAGTGGACTACAATTTCTACTTATATGCCATGCCTTTGATAGATTTATAGACATATGATTTAGAGCATTTAGAAGAATCCATTTGGATATAAATAACTTCAGTGCTAATTATTATCTGTTCATGAAAGTAAGTACTGGGGAACTGCACAGTTGGTTCTATTTTATTAATCATCAGCACTTGAAACACTTGCCATTCTCTTTTTGAGATCCCAACCTTAGACTGATGCAAATGAACCATATTCCCTTGCACTGGAAAAAAACGGGACTGCATCCTTATTTTCCCTAAATCTTTAATTTCCTAACCACTTGTAACAGTTCTGGCTCAGTTTGTTTTCCAATCCTCTTTTCTATTTTACAAACCAATATTTCAAGTTTGTACCAAAAGAACACAAAGACCCTCTTCATCTGCCAAATCTGGATATTTACTGGCATCTATTTGAAATGATAATAAATTTTTGAGGCCACTTTGCTATTTCCATTTGCTTTGATCTCCAGCTTCAGCCACCAAGATTGATGGCTTGAGCGCCTTGGCTGAGGGTAGAGCGTCCCAGCCTCTGCCAACTCTCCACTGTCTCATCAACACCATCAGATCTCCGGCTGTCACAGGCCAGCCCCTTGCCATTGTTGAACTGGCCGACCCTTCTCTGACCCAATGTTATCTTTCTAAGTTGAATGCAGCTATATCTGGGAAGGCTTTTAAGGGTAATTTTTCCTTTTGACTGAAAGCTTTTCATCAGTCCCATCTCTAAATCAGAAAGTTGTTCATGCATGAAATACATACACTGCAGATGAGAGGCAATTAGGTTAACAAAGCAGATTCCTGGGTAATGAGGAATTTTTATTCACCTCTCTGATGTCCTTCTGTTTAACCACCATCACATCACAGTCAACACACAACAGCCCACTGTTCTTCCTCTAGCTGTGGGTCTCATCTCCGTTCCAGCATAACTGCCTCCACCTGTACTAGCCAGCCCATTCTGTGTGACTAAATTCACACTCAGCTCTTGGTTGTGTTCTAGAGCCTGAAAATTCTATACCCCACAAGCCTTATTCAGGTTTACACTTACAACAGGGTGTTCAGTGTGTCCCTGTTTGCTTGGGACTTTCCAAGTTTGAGCAATGGTTGTTCCCAGGCTCAGTTATTTCTTCTGGTCCGAGTAAGATGGGACAGATGGCCACCTAACTTTAAAGCTGATGGGAAAGAGAAAACTCTATGACTATAGGAAAAGCTTGAATACTCTTATCAAAAAAAAAGTTTTGAAGTAAGATTCGGGTTTTGTTTTTTGTAATCCAGCCAATACACCAGTGCCTATTACGGGCATAAAATATGGTTTCCTAATGCAAAGAGCTTCAATCCCCAAAGGTATCTCATGACAGGCACTGATGAGACAATGGAAAGCAAGAGAGAAATAATCCTGATGGGAAAGAGCAAAGAATGCCACCAGGTAGGGAGAGGGCTGTGGGGGTGGGGCAGGAGGGGCTCGATCTTGTTGTGAGAAGAGGGAAGAACATCACTAAGATTTTCAGAGCTCTAAGATGCGTGGCTTGGCTTATCTTTCCCGATACAAGACATTTCAAAACGCATTTCTAAAGGGAAATGTTTTACTTGCCAGTAGGAAAAACATTCAGACCACATTCTTTATGGTGTTGTCATGCTATAGATACTTTTCTTTAGGGTTCTATATTTCCAACCTTATATTCAGGCCCAACTAGGAACTGGCTGTTTTCCTTTCAGAGGGCATATGTATATAGAAGTTTAAATCTAGGCATCGAGCCACTTTTAGCATATGTGAAAGTTAACGTTTAAATCTGATTGAACACAAGCAGGACATGAAATCCATGCAGCCTTTTAGACTTTAGAGCCAGCAGCTGGTTTATTCAAACAAGATCACCAGTCTCCTTGACTTATTTAGAACATACTTCAAATGTTTAGTTTCTCAGTTCAAAGTGTTTCAGCTGGAGTGTGGCTCGTTTTTATATCAGCATGATACACTGCAGCAATGTATTTATATTGTAGATGCTTTAATTCTGAGGAATGTGTTTCACTGTTTCGTTTTGTTAAGCCCAATCTGTCACTGCTCTGTTTGCAGTGAGGCGGTGTCACTACTGGAGACAGGGCTGCACAGGGCACGAAGGTGCGAACTGTGTTCTCTTCCTCATCTTCTCTTCTTAACAAGCTCATGTTTCACTGCACAGAACTGTGATGTGGTTAGAGATTACATGATGAGTAATTCTGTTATGGATCTAATTCTTTACCTATTAGGTTTATTAAAATAATGGCACCATGGAGTTATGTGACAAATGTAAAGTAATTTAAGGGAAAGAAGAATTAACAATAGTAGCATAGGCTTTGTCATTTTGGTCAAACTGGGGTGTATATTTTTTCTAATGGCACCAAGACACTTGAAAATCCTTGGCTGTTTTACTAAGCTGGGAGGGGAGAAAGAGGTAGAAATGGAGTAGGAGTGGTTAATAATGGTTAATAATGGAAAATGTTTTCTTCTGGTTGTTTCCTAACTTTTTCCAGACACACACACACACGCACACACGCACACACAAATGAGGGCTGTAGGGATTGCCAGAGACAAGAAATGGCTGCAATAACTAGGGAAACTAAAAAAACAACAGAACAACTTTTTTTTGAAACCCTAAATTCATCATAAATCTCTGAACTTCCCATTATTAAAAATATCAGATAGAGCACAGTTCCAAGCTATCTTGTCTTGTATATTGATTCTTCAAAATAAATGGCTTCCCTCTCCACAGCACTGGACCACAGAGTGTACACCACACCACAACATGCTGAAAAATTGGAATTATTTAAAAGCCATCTCATGGCTAAAGGAGGGTAATGGGTGGAAACATGGAATTTGGGGTTTTGAAACAATAAAATGATTAATCTCAGAAATGGTTTCCAACTCTTCTGAGTTTCATTTTATCAACATTTAGTATCTGCATAAATATATGAGCAAAGGCAGATGGGAGAGAAGGGAGAAAAGACACAAAGAGGGAGGGAGAAAAGCCAAAAAGAGGGAGGAAGAAAAGCCAAAAAGATGGTTACAGGGAAGGAAGTTTGCACTTTCAACTGTGGGCGACGGTGTAGACTTTGAACCTTATAGCTACTAACTCAGCTGTATATTCTTCTGTCTGTCCGTTCGTTTACTCATACTGCCAACTAAATATTTATTGGGTGTCTACTGGGTACTAGGGTGCTCCTTTTGCTTTCAAAAATCATATTCTATTTGGTAAGAAAGTCCTCTAGGCAAACAAAACTGATACCACATAGGTGCACAAATGACCCACTGAGAAAGTGCTTTTTCTAAAATGGGAGAATATAGGCTAGAGTTCAATATCATGGATGGGGGGAGAGCACGGTAATGTAATAACAAGTACATGATTATACTACACTATATCACATCATATTGTATTACGTTATTTTCTATCCAGAGGTATCACCAAAGGCCAAAACTTCAACCAGGAAAAATGCTCATCTAACAATGATAATGAATATCAATTACTCGTCCTCTCTAACACCTTATTCTTTTGTCTTTCTGTCACTTATCCTAATTGTTGAATGGATGTTTATTACACATGTTTTTTATTGTCTGTCTCTTCTACAAGCCAGTGAGCTCCATGCAGGTAGAGATCATGTCCATTTGCTTTCAATTCTGCACCCAGAATCTAGGATGTAACAGGAGCTTATCCATTTGTGAAGAAAATAAATGGATAGACCGGAACATCATGAAAACCACTGTCATAATGTCTCCGGAATGACATGGAAATACCACCTTCCAGACCTTCCCTGGGAGGGGGCTGGTCACAACAGCTCCTGCCACAGGCCCTGGGCTGAGGAGGAACAGGAAGATGTTCATTGATCCTTGAGACACAGGCATGGCCAACAGCTGAATCACTCATGGGTTCCGGAAATGGCCTGCCAATTGGGCTATTCCAGGGGCTGGATGTGAACGCCCACACAGCCTTGAACTTACCTTTTATTCCTGGAGGACCTGGCATCCCTGGATCCCCTGGGAGGCCTCGAGGCCCAGCATCCCCCATTTCTCCTGGAGAGCCCTTCGGCCCAGGCCTTCCCCGATCACCTGTGGGCAGCAGGGAACTTCTGCAGATACCCCGTAAGGCATGAGTCACAGTTGCTGAAAAAGCCATCTATGTTCTTAATACATGGGTAAAGGGGAATATCATTTTACTATATCCTCTTCTTCAATTTCTTAACTCTAAGGAGAAAAGTACACTTAACTTCAAAAGGAAAAATACGGTCCCAAATAACTAAAATTGCCAACTGTCTATTTTGCAGCACTGGGATTTGAACCTAGGGCCTTGCTCATGCTAGGCAAGCACTCTACCACTGAGGTACATCTCCAGCTAACAGACGGCACTTTTCAGGCAGGATCTTGGCTCCTCGTAATTAGTAATTAGTGGCACCCCGTGAGCCAGGACTAGCTTTACAGGTGAAGAAGAGGGAAGTTGATGTGACCTGTCCAAAGGCACAGGTCTGGAAACGGAAGAGCCCTGTCTGGCCACAGGTCCAGGAGAAGACTGGCGCTTTGTGACACAGCAAGAGATTCGTGAGTGCTCTGGAAGTTTCCAAGGTTGGTTTCAAGATACCTGGACACCCTGGTGGCCCTGAGGAGCCAGGCGGTCCTGGCGTTCCTGGTGGTCCTCTCAGCCCTGGGACTCCAGGCGAGCCTTGCTCTCCAGGGGCTCCCACATGTCCTACAGAAGCCAAAGCCAAAGTCTGAGTATTGCCATCTGGGACAGTAAACCTGTGAAACAGCCAACTTCAGCCCTTGTTATTCTTTAAATCTTTTCCACTGAAAAGGAAGATAACAGGGAAAAATTGGAAATGATATGTCCACAATCCTGCCACTGTGACACAATTTTCCTGTGTACACACATGTGCAAAATATACCCATAATTTTATATTCTGAAAATTTAAATTAGTGTTATGTCAAATAATTTTCTAAATTTGTCTTAGTTTTCCTAATTGTCATTTTCAAATGACTGGCTGATAGCTTACTGATTTTAATTTTAATTAAATTACTTTTCAAGTTATTTCTCTTTGGTATTATGGAATTTTTTGGTTTTGATTTTGGTTTTTTGAGACAAGGTGTGCTATGTAATTAAGGCTGGCCTTGAACTCACTATGTAGCCCAGGCTGGTCTCTAATGCATGGTGATCCTCCTGCCTCAGCCTCCTGAGTGCTGGGACTACAGGCATGTACCACCACGCCTGGCTGATCTTTATTCTTAATCTATATTTTTCACCTACTAAAGTATTTCCTTAGAAAAAAATCCTAGGAGTAGAATTTTTAAGTAAATAACATGATATTTGGATTCTTTTAAAATACATTTTTTAATGCTGAAATATTTTAAAGTAAGTTGCAGCTATTATGGAATTCCATTTTTAAATACTTTAGGAGGTGAGCCTGAAAAATACAAACATTTTCCTATGTAGCCAAAATAACACTGCAACTAAGAAAAATCAACAATCCCTCCTGTTTTGTTATGCTCGTTCTATACGTAAATGTCTCCCATTGTCCCCGTCAGGCTCTCCATAGCTGGTCTGTCCACACCAAGTGCATGCCAGAATTGCACATCACATCCTGTGGCTATGTGTCTGAGATCTTAATAAACCTAAAATAGCTCCTTTCTAGTGACAGAGGCGTTCTGAAGAGAATAATAGTGCAGCTCTTCTCTAGTTTTCTAGAGGAGAACATTCACCATCTTTGTTTGTTTTTGTGGTACTGGGGACTAAACCCTGGCCCTTTGGACTGTGCTACATCTTCAGCCCTTTTTAATTTTTTAATTTTGAGCCAGGGTCCTGCTAAGTTGTTCAGTTGACCAGGATGGATCGGAACTCAAGATCCTCGGCTTCAGCCCTCCCAGAACACCAGGGTTACAAGTCTGTGCCACCAAGCCCTAATCAACTTTTGGTTCTCGGCCTGGGCTGCCCCTGGATAGGAGGAAGTACCCACTCGATCCTACCCTCACATCATCCTCGAACACCTCCATGCCCATAACTCTGAGTATGTGTTCTTACTGTGAACGTTTCATTTACTGACTTGTTTTCTTGCTAATTTAGTAAGGGTAAAATATTTATAGGATAGAGCAACAGCCTTTGCTGAAAATCAATAGCTGAATCTGCAAATAAAATACATGACTCTGTATTTACAACCCCATGGAGGGTATAGGCATTCCTATGACCCACGGCCACAAACCTATTCCTGTATCTACTCCCCGATCAAATTTAACATCTATTAGCCTGACTCTGTGGTATCTTATTTATCCCAGGAACCTTCTGGCAGTAAAAGGTACAGCACTGTCATTACTGGCTCCAAATGAAATCACAAGCATTCAGACTTGTCTCTCAAATCTGCAGCTCTGCTAGCAGCAGGATTTCTGAGAGTCTGTGCTTTCTTTCCTCTCTTAATTGATGAGGCTGGGAGGGGGAAGACTGACCCCGCAATCCTGGGACCAGCCATACATCTACATTTCGTCATCAGCCTCGTTCAAGTTCAGTGCAGCTTTTCCTAGTCATGGAAAGACCATATTTACATAAACTCTGTGCTGCTGAATAACACATAATTGAAAAATTCTAAGCTAAAGCCATGCCACATAAGAAAGGAAACAATTTTAACGGTGATAACTGCAGACCAGGCAATTAGGCCAAGGCAAATATTCTACAAATGTTAGCCTACGTGTGAAATAACACATACTTATGGTTCTTAATTTAAAATGTTATTTGACATTAAAGGCCCTCAGCATGGACTACTTAGAGCTTGCAAAATTTTATATCTTCAAGGTTTACAATAAAAATACTAGCAAGTGTGGAAAAAAAAATCTCCTAATGTTTTGCTGACTTCATCATGATGACTGCGCTGTACATTTGTGTAGTTATTTTTAGTTTGCAAATTTATTTCAAGGTGCTGCATTCATTCCTCATATCAATTCTTTCCTATGCATAAGGCCAGTTTCCAGGAGAGATAAATTGAGCACAGAAGAGATGACTGCCTTAATGATGCACAATAATAATGATGATGATGGAGATGATGCACAATAATAATGCAGGTTGACTTTCAGCCACTGCTTTCCCCTTTCCAAGATTTCTCACTCTGGTATCTATTACGAACTCCCTTAATACTGACTCCAAAACTATTTTCCTTGATAACTGCATATTTAAGTTCAACTTTCAGTTAAATATTATATTCTCTAAATGTATGTGTCCCTGTGAAAGGAGATTTTTGCCACCATAGCAGTTCGCTTTTCTGCTAGACATCCATTTTAGCAGTTTCTTGTCAAACAACAAAGAAAATAAAATTTCCCATAATAGTTCTGCTTATATATTCTTTCTGTTACGTGAAATTAAACATGGCTACTGCCAGAGGGGACTCTTAAGGTAATGTGCAAGATTATTAATAGGAAGTCTTTTAATTGACAAGGGATCTATGCAAATACAAAACTGGTTTTTAATATGATCACTGTCAGCTGAATGCTCTTGGACATAAGCGACTCAACCCATCTCCTGTGGATGGACATCTGTTCTATCCATGCATCTTTATACACTTGCCTGATTATTGACTTACAATGAATTCCCGGGAGTAGAACTTCTAAGTCAGGGGGGGTGCATATTTTAAGTACTGATGAATGGTCCCCCAGGGACTAGACAAGGGGTGCAAATTTGTATTTTCACTATTTTCTGGAAGGTAAAGAGGAGTATGAAATAGTAGTAGGACAAAACATCCTAAGACACTTTTCCCCTCTAGGGGGCCTGCTCAACACGCTGGCTTGAACTGGAGTGAATTCCCTTTCCCTGTGAAGGGTGGAGCACCCCAAAGCATCACCGGTCCCTTCTGCTGGGAGTCATACTTCGAGGCTGGCAGTAGCCTCAACCAGGGGGTGGGGGCGAGAACTCGCTGGCACATCAGCATTCCTTCTGAGGGAATCCACGCTAACTGTTAGTGAAAAACAAAGTATCCTTGTTTTGAATGGCTGAGATTTCGCATTGGGTCTGGTTTGATTTTCAGTAAACTAGAGTTGATGCAGTGATAGACTGGCAAGGGTGGGCCTCACTTGCATCCTCAGGTGCTCTTCTCAGTGGTAGAGAAAGGGGTGCGTGGAAAACCTGCAGCTATTCTAAATAATGAGGGCTGCAAAATATCTCTCACTTTTGCAAAACTGGGCAATTGCAAGCAATTTTATTTGCTAGTAATATTTGCTTTTGACAGTCAAAATATGGGGATGCTCAAAGGAGTGCCTCCTGTCAGCGCCACTGGTCCTATGAGCCATGGTAGGGATGCTGGGAGTCCCTGGAGTACGATCCCCTTGTTCTTCTGGAACAAGAAGGCCAGGGCAGCTTTGCACATAATCCTTCTGATGTGTATCTTAGCAGGTAGAGGGGAAAGAAAATACTAATTTGATCACTGCCAGCTTGAAACATACAAGTGATTATTTTAGTTTTTGAACTAAGCTACTTTTTTTTTGTTTTAGTAAGCAACACATGTAGCAATACCTTGATATCCAGGGCCACCAGGCTCACCCTTCGGACCAGGTAGAGTAAACTGACTGGCAGGATCACCTTTGTTTCCTGTAAGTGAAAAAATACACGTAGCATTAGTCACAAAAATTTAATTTGGTCTTAATAGTGACATATTTCTTTGGATATCTGTCTCTTGATGCTACCTTCAGATGTTCCATTAAAGGATTTTTTAAAAAAACTACTTTTTTCCTAAACAGCAAATGAAAATATAGATGCACGATATTATTTAAACGCCACACACACACAAACACACACACTCCATAATTTTATAGTTCATAACAATCATAAGAAATTATAGATATTGATGTTTGAGTTTCTAAGTTCCTAAAATTATTTTTTCAAATTTAATTTTCTTTTAAAGGAAGTACTTAGCACAGAGTGACTCTAAAGCATGTAGGAATTGTGACTGTTTCAGCTCCTGCAACCCATTTCAAGCTCTCTTATAAGAAAGGTTGACTCAGTGTCCTCGTAAAAAGTATCACAAAGTGGTTCCACCGCCTGCCTCACAAGCTAAGGACCTGAGTTTGATTCCCAGTACCAAAAA